TTCACAAATAATTCTTTCAAAGAGCCTGTTACATCTGAGCAAGCATTTGCTGACTCACTCAGGGAACACACAACTTCCAGGAAGCTTGCTTGGCAATAGCTTCCTTGGCTAAAAAACCCAAGGAAATTGTTTTTCCATTATTCCATGACCATCAGCAGAGAGGATGAATAACCAAAATAGGAATTTCTCTTTCAACATGAAGTCACAAAGCCCACAGTGAGGCAGCCCAGTGCCGTTACTACCTCGACATCTCTAACTGGGCCAAATGCTGCTTGGTCCAGGCTCATGAATATCAGTTAGAAATCTTTAGCCCTTGCTGCCTGCTGCATCATCAAAGATTGTTCTATGCCAGAACCCAAACACACCTAGATGTAAACAAATCAACTCTGGAACAGAATTTGCTTATTGAAATCACAAAGGTAAATTCTATTTAGAATTTTAAAAATCCTGTAATTCTTTCCTAATGTCTGAATTTAATAAGAGAACCCAGGCTAGTTGGTGGCATGATGGTTAAGGTGGCTGGATCCCACATGGCTGAATATGCGGTTCAAGTCCTGGGTCCAGTGGCTTGATAAACATGCCAGGTGCATGTGTATATGTGTGTGTGTGTGTGTTTATGTGTGTCCCAAATCCCAAGAGAATAGAGGAGAAGGGATGGTAGTATGGCCAGTTCCCGGTGTGTGTGATTTCTCATTTTCCCTCTCTTCCTATCTCTCTCCAGTGAGTACATGCATGTTACAGAAAAACTAAAAACAAAACAAAATCTCCAAAATAAGAGAATCCAGAAAATGAGTAACTGATTCCTGAGAGAAATATAAGGGATAGCTATTATGATTCCTCAAAACTTGTACTTCTCTATTTCATCATTATAATATTTCTGTTATAATTTTACTATAACTGAAAAGAAATGCTGGATAGTAGAAATTCACTGTCAGCATTGAAAAACAGCAGTTTGTGTGGTGGTTAAGGCACTGGACTCCCACATGGCCCACCTCTGTTCAAGTCCCAGACCTGGCAGCTTGAGAATCATGCTGAGTGCATTTGTGTGAGTATCCAGAATCTCAAGAGGAGAATGGAGGAGAAAGGACTGTGCTATGGCCATCCCCCTGGGGGGTGATTTCTCACTTTCCCTCTGTCTCTGTCTCTTTCTAGCAAGTATAGGTGCCCTATGGCAAAACCTAAAAACAAAAACATAAATAACTTGTATAATAAGAGGAAATAAAAAACAGTTTGGCAGCAAGTCAAACTAGCTTGCAATCTTGTTCTGAGCTGAATATCCAGAGAAAAAAGACTAGCTCAACTCAGACTTCATATGAGATTTCAATAGCTTATATTTATTCCTATCTAATTCTCTACCTCGGGCACTATGTTTAAGAACAGTTCTCAGAAATATATAATCTAATGGCATTTAACATTAAGTCAGGCTTGCTCCACACACAGTGGTTAAGCCCTGTGTAGAGCTAGTTCCTACCTGGCTGACCACAGTTTGAATCCCAGTCTCAACAGCTTGAAAAAACATGTCAAGTATACAATTATGCACATATGCCCAAAATACTGACAGGATTGAGAAATGAAGGCAGCCCAGCCGGAGTGTGAAGTACCACATCCCACTAGGGGGTGCTTTCTCTCTCTCTCAGTGGGTACACATGACCTCTGGCAATTAAAAAAAAAATCAAGTTGACTTTTACTTACTCTTTAGATTTTAAGAGTTGGCATCAGGTTTATAAAATAAGTAAACTCTTTATGGACATTTTAAAAAGTTGGCTCAATATAAGGATTCTCTTTAAAAAGTTAGCTGACTTAAGTCCATGTCTTCAAAAGTGTCACAGAACAGTCTAGAAGTGGTTGGGCTCTGAATTCAAATGATTGGTCAGAAAAAGCTTTGGCAACTCTCTGAAGATATTGAAGAAAAACAATGGAAGATGTGTCAGAATCTTTATCTAAAAAAATTGTCCTTAATATAAATTGGATTATAAATGTCATTTACTTATTTACTTTTTTATTTAGGTTTTTGTCATAGAGTGCATGTGCTCACCAGAGACAGACAGAAGGAAAGTGAGAAATCACCCCCCAGAGAAGATGGCCATGCCACAATCTTCTCTCTTTCATTCTCCCCTCAGGACCTTGAGCATACATGCACACACACTCAGTGTGATTTTCAAGCTTCTGGGTCTGGGACTCAAACAGCAATTGGTCATGTGGGAATCTGTAGGCCCCATAAAGGTTTTTTTTTTAAAAGCACTTAAAATGTAAATGGAATTTCAAAAAAGCATCCTGGAAGAGACTTTATGAGTTCAAGAAAGCTGAAATTAATTTGAAGGTAAGCTCCTGATATTGTTTCTAAGAATGGTAAGGACAGGAATGAAAACAAAGTTTGTCTATGACACATCCTATTTCTGTGACTGATATTTGTTATAGGAACACCCTTGAGTTCACTGGTCTTTTAGAGAAATGCACTGCCACACTGAGGGATTATGAGAAAGTAGAACTCACAGCTCTGTGCTCTTGGATCTCCTACTTCCACCTCTCCTTATGACAGGAACCACTAATAGTGTTTCTGTGTTGGGTCATTCTTCTAAGCACTCAACTTGCACTGACTTATTCTGTTCCCATAACAACCCTATAAAGGAAGCACTATAATTATCTGCTTTTTGTAGTTGAGGAAACTGAGACAAATTAAATTATTTGTTGTGCTAGTTATTGTGTCCTCTCTCACTTTCAAGTTCATCCTTTTTTGCAAGATCCAGGGCCTTTAAGTGTGCTCCTTTGGTTTGTTGGCACAAGTTTACACTGTCAGTAGAGGGAGCGAGAGAGCTACTTTAGCAGAAAATGGCTGCTGCTTCCTAGAGTCTAGTGCATTCGCTAAAGCAGTCTCCTGAGCCAGGCTCCTGTAGTGTACTAAGCTTTGTCACTCCTTGGCCAGCTGCTTCCCACTAAGCCCTTCATGAGGTGGTATTATATCAAAATGCCTCCAATGAGCCAGCTCCCCATGTATCCTAGAGAACAGATTTCTGGCAAGTTCCAAAGGGTTGATTTCAACAAGTTCCTCTGGAATGGCACCAACAAAACTCTTAGCCCATGGCTGGAAGTGGATATGCATTCCATGGGTAGTACTGCTCCTTATACCTGCTATTCCTACCTATATATTATTCCTCTTTTTTCTTTTACTCTTTTCTTCCTTATTTTAGTTTGCTGTAGAGTGTATGGATGGACCAGAGACAGATGTAGGGAGATAAAGAGGGGAAGTTGGAAATCACTCCCCAAGTGGGATAGCCACGCCACAATCCTTTCTCTTCCATTCTCCTCTCAAGATGTCAGGCACACACAAATACATGTCCAGCATGCCTCTCAAGCCACCAGGTTGGGAACTCAAACCGTTCAGTCAGCCATGTGGGATCTTGCCACCTTAACCTACATGCCACCTGCTGGCCCCCTACCTATAATCTTTAGAGCTATCTTTGTTTCTTAATAGATAACCCCTCACTACTCTAATCCTTTATTGTTATAGTTAAGGCTTACATACTTATTATATAGCTTTCCTGTTCAAATTACTGTAAGGTTTCTCTCTCCTGGTTGTACCTAGACTATCCTTGCCTAAGTCCACAGACCAGAAAGCAGAACTTGAATTTGGATCCAGGCAGCCAGGCTCCTGAACCTCCAGTCCTGATATGCTGTCAGACTACCTTTCATGGAGAGGATACCCAGGCTGATGTAATGATGTGTGGTGAAGTGAAGTGCGTAGTGCCTGCTAGAGAGCAAGGCAAAGAAGGAGTAGTGTCAGGAGCAATCCCTGAGGTATAGTGTTTGAACAGTTTGCCAGGAGACACAAAGGAAATGCATTCCTGAAAAAGGGGACGTGTGTGCAGTGGTAGGTGAAGGGAAAAGAGGGTGTCAATCTCAGGAAAGGGAGAGAGGGTTCTAGCTTCACCCCAAAACTTCCACCTTATTCCTAGTGAGATTTGTAGGCTTCGGGGTTATAACTCTTGCTTTCAACAGTGTTCCCTGCTTCTCTCATAGCAGCTCGCCAGGAGGCAATATTTTCCACAGGGGCCTCAGGAAGCACAAGGACTTCCACAGTGGTAAGAAGGTGGAAGAGAAGGAACAGGTCAGCAGCACCCTCAGGGTCTGGGTAGTATTTCATACCAAGTGCTATTACGGCTGTTGCCCAATCTATAACGGAATAATAGAGAAATACTTAAATTTGTGTAATAATTGCCTTTATTCTAATTTTTTTCTTGTAAAAACTAGCTTGTTCTTAACTTCCAACCATTTATAAATAATGGACATTGTAAATGTTTGGAAGAACAAACAGCAGTGTTGGAGCCATTATACCATTTTAGCAACACAATTTTGGGGGGTTAGGGGTATTGGGACTGCAGAAAACACTGAGCTCTCTGCACATTTATTTAGTCAATTCCATCTTTACAGTTCCCATTGAAATTGACTCCTACGCTAAGTGAAGGAAGGTGTTATGAGTGGGTATGGGAGTGTGGGGATGACAGAGGACTACTCCAACTATTCCAGGTCTCTACGAAACAGACTGCTTTCTCTGTAGTTTCTGAAATAGTGTCCATTTATTTCCAGAATTAATCTCTAGTATTAGGTGGTGCATGCATTTAGAAAGTTTGAAAACATACTATGTGATATCACATTTTGGAGATTGAAGAACCGGTAAGTATTGGAACTGGTATGTGAAAAATGATCAATTTTGGTCCCAGAAATTCGACGAAAAAATATTCACAGATATCTAAGCACACTGAATATATCAGCTTTTCTGCTTGGGTGGAAATGGCAAGGGAAAAAAAATCAAAGGCAAAAGGTAAAATTCAATAGCAAAAATATGAAGGGGACTCTATCTTGTGGGTTGAATGAATTGATTTCCCAGCAACAGATTGTTGACCTATTTCTTTAAGGGTTATTGCTTCTGTTTGGTTTGGGTCAGTGATTTAGGAAGCGATGTTTTCCTTTATGAAAAAAAAAAATCTCAAAAGTAAATTAAGTGTTTTTATATCATGAAGATGATGTTAAGTTTAATGGCTTATCCAGTGTTTGAAGTCATCACAGGTCCAGTTGCTGTGGTCAGCAGGCCAGCCTGGGGTTAGACTGCATTCCTTTGAAGGAGCTGGTCCAGTAATTGCTAGAGAAGCAGGGAAACAAAGATGTCAAGTTCAGATTCAGCATCTGTGCACCATACATATCACACCTGCTCACAATGAAGCCATTACCTTTTTGAAGACTTCAGCACGGAGTCTGTTACTCTGTAAGATCACCCTTTTCCTTTGTTCTTCTTTTTTCTTTTTAACTTCCGGCAAGTTATTATAGATTCTAAAACAGATTCAGAAAACATGTTGAATGGTAGCATGACAGTGTATGTCTGTGGCAGAGTTGCATCCTGTCTTGTCAGTAGGCTCTTATATTTCAAAGAGGAGATCGCTATAAATGGATTGTCTCAAAACTGTCAGATGCGAAGACTGAAGGGCTTCCCAACAGTCTCCAGAGCAAGGCTGTCATGCAAGGGATAGTGCATAGGTCCACGGGTCCTGGGACAGTGCAACAGGCTGAGGTCCACCAAGGGGGTGGGACTGGGGAAGACTGTTACCTATTTAGAAGTCACTTTTCCTAGCCCTCTATTCTCCATGATAATCCACTACCTACTTATGAAACAAGGGATTCTAAACCTACTGCTTTGCTATTTTGATTGTAAACTTGCTCCCAAATACCTTCTTTCCACTCAACTTTTTTGCCTTATGTCTTAGAAAGGAAGTAGTGAATAAATGGACGTAGCAGGAATTATAATACTATTCATAGAATGAAACCACATATGCATGTACGTTTTTACCACTTAACCTATTGCATTTCTAATTGTGCTCTTTCCAAATACACCCCAGGCATAAGTATTATGTTCTTATCCTGATGTAAAAGTAGAAGCTTCCAAGTTACAAGCAAGGCACACACAAGGGACCCTTCTTCTGAACACTTCTTTCTTAATTCCTAGCAGAAATTCTTTATATAGTCCAATGCCAACCATTATTTCTGCTAGAATCCACTGACACAGTAAAGTCACCATAGCCTGAGTTTTTGGTTTGCTATACACATGGTACATAGCGAAAGCATCTCTTTTTCATTTTCTCTCATGTTTGGAAGACAGAAAAAAATATGCTTAAGATATTCCACCATTAAAATAAGTAAAAAGATATAAAATAACAATGATGACAACATTAGCAGGTGACATCTTGGTTATTGGGACTAGGCTCATCACTTGAGGGGAATTATCTCATTTAATCTCACAACATCTGGAAGAGGTATATATCTTCCCACTGCTATATAAATGAGAAATTCAAGGTCCAGTAAGATCAGTAGGCTTGCAAGCAGCCCCTCAGCTGGCTAAGAGTGAGAAATCATTAAAACCTTCATCTGTTTTATTCACTACACAACGCTGTCAACCCAACCCTGTAACATAAAGCTACTTATGAGAGTCAGAAACTGTTCATGCCTAGCACAGTGCCTGGAACATTGTGAGCATCAACATGAGTGTATTGGATGTATGAATAAATGAATACATAGTTGCTATATTCAGGAGTGATTCTAGAAAAAGAACAGGAGAGAAGACTAAAAAATTAGTAGGAAAGTCCCAAAATGCCACTGTGGAAATTCCTTCAAATCTACATAAACCAATCTCCCTGATCTGACCATTTGAATCATCTAGGGAGTTTACAATACAAACCCGTAGGTCCTACTTCTATAGCTTCTGATTCAACATGCTCTTTTTCTGAGAGATTTTTTTGTTATAGGGTGTGTGTGCTTGCCAGAGAGACAGAAAGAAAGTGAGAAATCACCCCCTGGGGGGATGGCTATGCCACAATCCCTTCTCCATTCTCCACCTAGGCCTTTTGGGCACCTACGCACATGTGCCCAGTATGAGTTTTAAGCCATCAGGTCCAGGACTCAAACCACAGTTGTCTACATGGGTGTCCAATGATGTAACTGTTATGCCATCTGCTGGCCTCCTCAGCATTTTCTTAAAAGAGCTTTCCAAATAAATCACGGTCCATTTATGCAATGAACTACTCTTCAGATAGTCAAAACCAAGGAAGAAAATAACCTATATTTTCTAACACCGAAAGTACTCACAGACATATTATAAAGTGAAAGACTCAAAACTGCAGAAATATAAAATATTGTATAATCCCATTTATGGCTAAATAAATCACATAAATGTATTGTACACATGAAAGTGTATTTGAAGGCAGAGAGAAAGGCTGGAAGGAGACACTGAAGACATAACTATGTGTGTCTTAGGAGACAGGACCAGGGTTGGGAAAATAGGACGGAAAGGGAAAAAAGAATGGTTGGTCATAACTTCAGCTTCATCCACATTGTTCGAATTTGTAAATTAAAATAGAATTTAACAGTATAATTAATAACAAAGAATGCAAAGAAAAGCAAACTCTGAAGTGATTCTATGTGTAAGGTAGGGTTAAAGCACACCCAGGATGCAGTCCACAGGAGTTAAAGTCCAATTGCTGAATCCATTAGAAGAGACCAGCTAAGGGACACTGATGACTCAGAATGCAGTGTCACCTAATTCATATGTCCTGAGCCTCCATTTCCTCTTCAGTAAAACAACAGGACAATACTCACTGTCTACCCATGCTGCTTTGAGATCTATTACATTTATTGCTTAGTTTGCAAGACTCCATAATAATAGCAGCTTTGGGGTAGGGATGGGGAGAGGAAGATGTGGCTGAATTTTTTTCACTAAATTGACATGGGAATGCTTTTGGCATGAAATATGTGCAACTTTGTACTTCTGTGACAGCAAATCTTAAAACCCAGAGGCCCTTTTAGCCCCCATTAGAATGCTGTGAGTCAAGTCTTTAATGAGAGGGTCTGTTCGTCTTTTTCTCACTTTTGCTTCTTATTTACAAGGAGGTTCCCTATAGATTATCAAAGTTATGTAATTATCATGGAAACAATAAAATCATGGTCAAAGCAGAGATCTTGTGCTTGGAGTAAGGAGAAAAATAGCCTTAGTTCAATGGTTTCTCTAAGTGCACTATCCGTTTGATTTAATTATTATAATTCTTCCCAGTGTTAGATACTTTATTATAAACCAGTGACATTTCACTTCTATGGATTTGGCCAACACTGCTAAGCTATTACATTTTGGTTGGGAAGCCAGGTCTCAGAAAGAATGGCAGCCTTTGTGTGCTCCAGGTTGGTGAGAGTTAGTGGGAGTCTTGAATAGCAACCAACCAAGCAGAACAGGGAGAATGTGCAGCCGTTGGGTTGCCAAACCAGTTGGAGATGAAGTGCCAAAAAAGCAAGCTTGTGGCCCCTCTGAGGCTCTTCTGGCTCCCACGCGACATCAGCTTCCAAGACTGAATCTTGCCACAGACAGTGCCGCATTCAAAGCCCTCAGGAGAAATGGCCTTTCTCTTCTTTATGAAATTATCTTCAAAGGTGCAGTGACAAAGAGTTTCTGCCCATAGTGGAAATGTGAATGTACAGAAGAGTTCCCACTAAAAGTTTTGGGACTTCTTAGAGAGCAATTACCACATTGGTTCAGAATTCAGTACCAACAACTTTCCTAGTTTTTCCCAAGAGCAGTAGTAACCTTCAGAAGTGCGACTTGACAACTGTACTCGTTATAACCAGTTTTTCAGATCGGCAGCCAACAAGACCTCAGACCTTAAATGTGGACCTAGAAATAGTGGTCCCATCATATAACATGTGAATCCATCAAGCCATGCCAACTCCCCCTCTCCAACTTCTTTCCACATCACACCAAGTACCTTTTAGAGCGCATATGCATCTCCTTCTCTGAAATGCACCTTTCTTTGGGTTTGAACAAATTATCTAGAAAAAAAATAGAAAGAGAATTAATTTCAGAAAGTACAGAATATTGTACATTTCTAGAGAAATACTGTGATGAATATACTACATATCTTGTTATTGATCCTTAATCTGAGCCTCAGCTTGGTACAAATACAGTGGGATTCAGTAGAGGCTCATATACCATAAGCGTTTGTACTGATAGCTGACCAACCAACAGAATTGGTCTTAATAGGAGACCAACAGGTGGCGTGGTAGTTAAGGTGTTGGACACTCCCACCTGGCCGACCAGGGTTCAAGTCCCCAGACCTGGTGGCTTGCTTTCTCACTTTCCCTTTCTCTCTCTCTATCTCTGTCTCTCTCTGGTCAAATTAAAAATAAATGAATGAATAAATAAAGTTAAATAAATAATTATTGTTTTAGAAAAAATAATTGGTCTTGATAATAATTAAATAATGGCATGAAGAACAATGTTAGCATCTAATCTACTTTATGGACTCCTTTGAATATTTCGTTTAGCAACAGAGAATCATGGTTTTCTGGGGGAGGTGCCAGGGTGCAAGAATCTAGTGCCTGGTTATCTCACATGAAGCTTCGAGTCCTCTAAGGACGGGTTACCTCCTAGCTTTCCTGGGAGCATTGTGAGAGCAAGATTTTTCCCTCTGGATTCTAGTCCTCCATCAAGTCTGCTTTGCCTCCATATGATGAAGACTACCTTCCCCCTTCTAATGTCAGAAAGAGTAAGGTCAATATAATCATCATATATGCTCAGAAAGTCCTTTGAGAAAGTACACAGTAGCTAAAATAAACAGAAGACTGGGATGCTTTTTGATGTAAGTGCATATTACTAATCACAATGTTAATGAATGGCTCACTTAAAAATGGCATGTGATAGGCCAGCTGGTGGCATGGCATTTAAGACAGCTGGATCCCAAATTGCTGACCTGTGGTTCAAATCCTAGCACTGGGGGCTTGAAAGCATGCTGGGTATGTGTGCATTCCCTGCCCAAAATCCCATGAGAAGAATGAAGGAGAAAAGGTTGTGAGATGGTTATCCCTCTAGAGGGGTGCTTTCTCACTTTCTCTCTGTCTGTCTGTCTGTGAGCACATGTACCCTACAGCAAAAGGAAAAAACAATTTTAAACATGTGTTTTTTTTTTAAAAAAAAAAAACAAAAAAACCAGAAAAACAGTGTACCCTTTTGTAATAACTCGGAAATTCCCATGAGACTCTCAGCCTTATAGATTAGTCAAGAGTCTTGCAAACACCAATGCTCCTGGGGTGCTTATTGCATTTGAGTATATCTGAGTAGCCGCCAGTTCACTGCCTGAATTTAGCATATGTATTCAGGCAATTTAGCATCCTTACTAAGCATCATGAGTTGGAGTGGGCTCCCTATGGTCCCCACTGAAGATCTAGGTGTGTTTAATCTCCTCTCTTGCCCCAGGTCTATTTCCCCTTGCTTATCAATCCAGTGGAACTATAAAAAATTTCTCAGGCTTGCGAATATATAGAATGTTCCAGGAATATCTAAGGAGGTAGGATAAAGAAAGGGATACTAATACATTTTTGCCCATGGAGAAATATAAAACACAATTACTGATTTACAATGTGGAAAGCAATCCAGTGGCTGAGTTTGTATTCTACCTAGTTACTTAAAAATAAAAGAATATGATACCATTACTAAACTTCAAAGACAAGAATCAAAGGAGATACAGGAGGAATAACAAAGAAATCAGAATAGTGCCAATTAAAGGGAAATGTCACTAGGGTTTAGTAAACTGGGGGACATAACTGCAGGGAGAAGACAACATCACCATGGAGACTGTGATAGGCCAAGATGCCTCCAATGCCCAACCTTGACCCTAGCTCCAGATAGAGCCAGGCAGAGCTGAGTGCCTCATGAAAATTCCAACAGCATTTCTTAACAAATAAATAAATAAATAAATAGAGTGTCAGATTAAGTCATTCAGAGCCTTGGGCAAGCAAAGATGTGACTGTTTAAAGATTACCACTTGGACTGGAGAAGCAACTTCATACAAAGAATGAGACTCAAATCTGGATCAGCACTCTTCATGAGCTACTTAAAGTCAGGCTGATGCCACTGTAGACAGATGGATGTGTCCTCAGGGGATTAAAAACAATATCAACTGCATTTGTAAGATTTTAGTAATCTCAATTCAATTGAATGTGGTCTGCTCTGGAATATTAGATGGATTCTCCCCTAGTTTGTTTCTTTAGACCACCTGATACTACAGTTAAGCTTTGGTTTCATTTCCAAGAGGAAACAAAAGCAAATGTGAGCTATTTGACACCTCCACTGTTCTGTTTTCTGAACTCTTCTTGGCCTGCTGTGCCATAGCCAAAGTTTAAATTTTGGGCCCAGCAGCCCACATTAGGTGCAAAACAAATAGATCTGTATCCAAGAAGGCCTCTGCAGCTGGGAGGCTCAACCTCACACCTTGAGGAAGTGTTTGCATATTGGTTGCTGCTGACTTTGAGTGTCCTAATGGCCCCAAGTACATCTGACAAATAGAAGGGCCTTCCCCACTAGGAGAAAAGAGAAAGGCAGAAAGGGGGAGGGTCTACATCCTAGGAGTAAGTAACTAGAAATAGAAGAAACATATTGTGAATGGCTCCCAACCTCTCTAGAGTAAATAGAACACAGATACATTCAGTAGCCTTGGGCATTTTGAGAGAAGTGGGAAGGAGGGGCAGGAGGAGCAATAGTACACACCTGAGTGGTCAGTGTTAATGCTCTATAATAATGCTGCTGGTATTTATTGGATGCCTCTATATATAATCTTCCTATCAGCCCTGTGACATCCTCATGATGTTTTACATTTTAGAGTTGAGGTCACTGAACTTCAAAAGCGTTGGATGTCACCTGATCACACAGGTTCAAACAAATGAGTGAGTGACAGAGCTGGACTTCAGCCCACATATGCTACTAACCTCAGAACAGGACCATCAACTTGTAGTTGTAGAATCTGTGTTTTGAAAGTTATGAACAAATGCTCTTCTATTTCCCATGAGACCAATCCAAAATTTATTTCTCATATACCCTTCCTCCTCCTTTCTACATTTAATGAGCAGTTACTATGTTGCTAGAGAATGCTAAGGAAAAAAATAATAGGACCTGTTTTCATGAGATTTCATTTGTTGAGGAAAGAGGTGGACAATTAACAAGCCAATTACAAAGAATCTGGCAAGTGCTTTGATGAACATGAAATACCACCATAAGGGAAAAAAGGACTTCAGATGCAAGAGGGCCCCACAGAGCAGATCTCTAAACAAAAATTCAATAACTGCAAAAGCCAGCTGTGGAAGGATCTGTGAGAAGGGAACAGTGAGTTCCTACAGCAGCAACAGAAAGAGGATTACTGGGGACCAGCAGTTGGCATAATGGCTATGTCGCTGGACTCCCATGCAGTTGACCGTGATTCAAGTCCTGGACCTGGCTTAAACTCATGCCAGGCGCGTGTGCGTGCATGCCTAAGGTCCCGAGAGAATGGAGGAGAAGGGATTGCGGCATGGCCATCACCCCAGGGGGTGATTTCTTGCTTTCTGTCTCTCTGTCTTTCTGGCGAGCACATGCGCCCTATAGAAAAACCTCTCAAAAAAAAAAAAGAAAGAAAGAAAGAAAAGAAAAAAAAGAAAGAAGATCACTGTGGCCATGATGTGAAGAAGAGAAAGTGCAGAGGTGAGAGCAAAGACTTCCCTGGCTCTCCACCAGGTTATACTTACAGTCACTTGGGGATTTTGACAAAGGTTCCTATGCATAGACAATGGAATCTCAACCAGAATCTCCAGATGATTCTAAAGCATACCAGAACTGGGAACCACCTGTCCAGGGTTCTGCAAACTTGTTTAAGAAGTTTTGCAAGCTTGTTAAGGTGGAGAGTTACATGGAGTTTTAATCAGATCTGATTTCTAGCACTAAAAGAAGATCACAAGTGGCTCTTTTGAACATGCAGTGGGTGGAGGAGATACAAAGATGGCAGCAGGGAGATAGGTCAGGCAACTGCAGCCAGGTGAGAAAAAGGATGACACTGTTCAGAGTAGGGGACAGCCATAAAGTTTACCTACATTGGACAGGTAGAGATTGAGTTGTGGGACCAGGGGGGATAAATTATGAATGACTTTTAAGCTTTGGGTTTAAGCAGTCCATTTATTTGATAATTGTTAACTTTTTATCTTTTTGGTGCTAGGTAGTAGGGACACAAAGATGCATAAGACTAAGATCTCAGAGCCCAGAATGAGAACCAGAGAAATAAGGACTTTAAGTGCTAGGACCAAAGTCTGCACAGAGGGAGGGGGTGGCCTCATGGAGAAGTCAGGTCCTCTAGGAAGAAAAGTAAATGGGAAGACTTTGTAGCAAGAGACAGCTGAGTCATGAAACAGAAGAAGGTGTTTCTCAATAGCCAGCGTGGGGAAGTGAGAATAAGGGTGAGTCAGAGCAACATGGATCTGATCCCAGCAAGAGCCACTCCTCAGGATGTGTGCAACATGACCCATGGGAGTCTCATTTTATGGGATTGAAACCCATCCAACATGTGCTTTGTTCATAAATACAGTGAAGTCCCATCTATCAATTCTCTTTTAATAGAAATTCTGCCTTTATAAAATTCAAGTGACAAGTGAGAACAATTTTCAGTCTGCTTATGAGCCTTTTATGTATTCTCCTTGAAGTTTCCTCTATTCTAATTCACTGATACAGAGGAAAGAGATTGCAGTTGTATTTACCTCCCATTATCATTCAAATAGAGGTTGAGGATTTTTCCCCCCAATAAAATTACTAATGTAAATTGCCCATTTCTGTATTTCTGGAAAATACTTTTTGTTTTCCCTGAATGTCTTGCATCTGGCTCATTATTAGATCTAAACTACAGGGCCTGTTGTTAATCTAATTTGGCAAGGCCAGACTTCCTTAAACCCTTGCCTGTTTCAAGGTGAGCCAACCACCAGGAACCAACATTTTGGTGCTTGTGAAACTGCTCTAGGAAAAGCAAGCCCTAACATTC